ATCAGACTTTTTTTTTTCAGGGAAAGAGGGGAGGATTTACTAGATGTGCAAAACAAACAAGAGTTATCTCCCTCAGGAGAAGGTTATTTTTGTATAGAACAAGGTTACAAATGAAGGAAATCCGGAAAATTATACAGGGAACCTGTTCGTCGGGATTTGCACTTGGGTCGAACTACCAGTGTTCAACGTCCTGTCCGCTCGGGAGCTAATAAGCAATCTTAAAATGGAAAAAGATCCAGTTTTGCTCATTATAAAAACACATTGTTGCCGACAAAAGGTGCTTAAAATGCCGAATTAATTATAAAACTGTGTTCTTCATTTGCGAGAGAAAGCTAATGACTTAGAAGATTATTTTACACGTACTTCTTAATAAGATTTTTCTGAAATATTATTTGCTATTATAGTAAATAAGTATATACATACAGTAAAATTTGTTAAATATTATTACTGTAAGTATAAGAAGTAAAACGCATTTCTAATAATTTACAACATATCGATGAAAAATATCTCTAATATTTCTGCATCTGTACCCTGTCGTCTGTATCCAGAATAATCAAATGGCGACGGCGAAATTAAGAAACTTAATTCAATCATAAGTACTTTTTTTAACCTTATTTCAAACGGTAACACTTAAGAAAATATATTTTGATGTTTTGTTCGTTTATAATTATTTTATGTCCAGAGAAAGAAATGCGGAACAGACTGCTTTTAAAAATTTGAAAGATGAATTAATTAGAACCTTAAGAAGGTGTATTTCCAGTTCCAAATTAAGTGAAAACCCATATTGTAACTAGCGTATGAAATCGCTAAGCCCAAATCGCTACGAATCCTAAAGTTTTGAGTAGTTGAGAAAAGAGCATTATAAGCTCTTTGTAAAGCATCTTTCGTATGCTCTGAATTGATTTTGATGTCATATGTAATTTGAAAGTTCTTTAGCTTTGAAATTTATTGGAAAAACTGGTCAAATAGTAATAGATGCAAAAGTCGGAATGATGTCTTGGCAGTAAATCTGAAATTGGTTTTAAATTAAAATATATGAATCTCATTACAATAAATTTGTTTCAAAATTAAAGAGTATAATAGATCCCCTGCAACACATATTTTGAATTAAAAATAAGCAAACGTTTATCAGCTATTTTACTTTGTAAAGAGATGACTTATTAAATTAAAGAATGGAATGTATCCAGGTCTCCTTTAACAGTTACATTTATTTTCCTCACTTGTAAGACAGCAACTCTTTCATAACGCGATCAGTACAGCCCGCTTTCGTATATTAAATAAAACCACGTGCAAATAACGTGGTCTGAGAAAAACGTGCAAAGCAACAACAAAACAGCGATTCTTCAAACATCAGTTCCTGCCTGCGAATCACGAAAGCCAGTTTTATAAACCTTCCCAGAAGGAAACGAAAACTGGATCGAAGAGAACGCGACGGAGTGAAACATCAGTTTTCAAAAGCCATCAGGCGCAAAAGCTGCAAATGCGTTGATAGGGTAGCTTAGTTTGGCGGACGCAACTGCACGTATTTCAGCAACTGCACGGATTTTTTTTTTTTTTGCGGGGGGGGGGAAGAGTATTCTAATTAAATCTACGTAATTATTTACTTGCAAAAGTTAAATTTGCAGAAAATAGAAGCGGAACGCAAACATGTTATCGACACCAGGACGAAAACTCGGAACTGCAATTTTTCTCCTTTCTCTTACATGGCATTTCGTAATTTTGTTTAGCACCAGAGGGTACTATTAATCTCAATCCCCACCTTTTTTGTTTGTATCACTTTCCAAATAAAAGGATGGTGCCACCAAATATTATCGCCATACATTATTTATATCGGAATAATATAGTGAATTAAAAAATATTTTTAATTATAATTTTAAAAATATATTTTTAATTCTTTATTAAAAACATATTTTTAATTCGCTATGTTAATTAAAATTAATATAGCGAATGAAAAATAATCTAGCGAAATTTAAAAATAAAATACAGGCAACACAAATAAAAGTATGTTTCCAGCAAATGTTATCGCCGTTTATTGTTTTTAAAGAAATAATATAGCGAATATATATTAAAAAAAGGGTATGGTAATATTTAACACTGCTGAAAAATCTGAAGATATGAAGATTTTATTGCGCGGAAATGCGAAGAAAGTGATGTTTAATAAAAAAAAAGTTCAAAAGACAAATGTCAATAACAACAAGATAAAAAAAAATGTTGTTAAAAGTTATCTTAGTAAGCCTAAGAAAACTATCACCGGTATATGATGAACTGAGAAAAGAATGGCATAAAAATTAAGAGCAGTACTTAACACTGTATTAAGAATACTAAACATATGCTTTTGAAAGTTTTGTGGTTTTCTGTTGAATTTTATATGACGTAAGTGTGAAGAAAGCGATATTTAATAATAAAGTTACAGAGACAAATAACAACAATTAAAAAAAATCTGAAAGCTTTCAGTTTTTACATTGCCTCCAAAGGAACTTTTTTTTTTTTTTAACGTTTTGTGTGTTACCTTTATTTATTAAATATCATGTTCTTCGCACTTAAACGATAAAATTCAATCCATCAGCAATATTGCAAAATAATTTTTAAATGAGCATATCTTTAGAATTTCGGGTACACAATCTCGCGCGTTCGAGATAATCCCCCCCCCCCCATAGAGTGTTGCCATTGATCGCTTTGAAATCGTTGAGTTTGTTAATGAAAAATTCGTTGAAGTGATACAAAATATGAAATCAATTATAAAACAAATTGCAAATTGCAAATTAGTGCTTCCAGATGCCCATATTTGGTGGAAGATTACGTTATTCAAAATTTGATGGCTCTAGGTACCGTTGTTTTATCACAATACTAGAAACATGCAAACATTTATGCAGATTCTTCATCATTTAATTTCTTTCAATATAACACAGGTCGATCAGAAGGTATAGTGGTTAAGGGAGCCTACTTACGGTACCGAAGGGCCCAGTTCGAATCGCGGGTAAGACATGGATGTTTGTAAATGTATAGTGTCGGTACGGCGTGGCGGCACTCTAAATATGCGGCGAGCCGAAAGTGCTTTTGTGTGGATTTGTGGGTGAGGAGCATCCCGAGGGAGACCCTCGAATCCGCCTGGGGTGCTCTTCCTAAAAATAGGGTATGGAAAATAGTCCAACCTCTCTTCGGAGCAGGCTCTGGTAACCATTGTTGCATATAATTTAGTCACGACAACAACAAATATAACACAGGGCAATAATATTTGGTGGCAACATTCTGAAAAATGATATGCCATTTTTAGTGGTTCAATGCAAAATGCCGAAACGAAATTAATAGTCCTTCTGGGCAAATTGTCCCTTTGGATTAAAAAAAGTTCTGTTAACAGGAGCGAGTTCAATATGAGATTTAACTGCGAGCTCAGTGAGAGCATAAAAAACCTTAATAAAACCTCTGGTGGAACATTGAAATCTGAATCCTTTCAGATATTTTTTTTCTTTCATTCTTCCCCCTCCCCCTTGTGTGGGTATTTTACGCTACACTAAAAGAGATAAGAGTATATTTTATGATCTAAATATACGACAATCATATTGTAGAAGTCGTGACTTAAATTTTCTAAATTAAAATGTATGTTAAATGCATTTTACTCGAAACCGTAACTTTTAAGATTCGATTCGTGTTTCTGGCACGGTACCAGTAATGCATATGAAGTATATAAAAAACGCATGCACAGATGTGTGCAATTAATGTTAATTATATATTATGTATATTACATACTTATGGTCGTTCGGTTTTATTACGTCGGTAGTTATGGTCGTTCGATTCGATAATGGATTATAATTCGTATTTGTATTTTTTTACTCCGTTTATTGCTTTTTGTTCATACGAAATGATAATGAATAAAAATGATTTTTAAAGCTCATCATTAGATGCATTTGTGCACAGGTTTCTCATTATTCTGTGCAACTATTCGATTATTTTTCACGCGGATGTTTCTGATTTCAACGTAATGCGTTAGAGTCGCGATGACATATTTTTAACAGTAAATCTTAAAAAGCGCGTTATTAAGTACTATTTTTAATCACTTTCAGATTAATATTGTTTTTCGGCCTAGGTCAAAGTGTAGTGTAGTACTTTCAGATTAATATTCACTTTACCCTTTAGCATGACTGTGTTTCGAATGCTTAATTCTTACACTACATAATAAATTCAGATGATAAAAAATTATTATTACTTTTTGCCATGGTGAAGTTTTAATAAAAATTTATATATTGTTGTTATGTTTATAGAATAAAAATTCGTAACTTGCACCAACACAATTTTTAATGTCCAATGAAATGCGAGAAATATTTTTTTTCTGTAAAATTTATTCGTGTATATAAAAAGAAAGCACAGATAATTCATTTTGTAACATTTAAAAATATCATGTAACTTTCTGATTTGTTATGAAGTTCAACATTAAGATCAAAAATATACTTTCAAAATATTTTGATCATAAAATATCTTATTCTTCAAACTTCTGCTCTACTCATAGATAATAAACCTGCAGAAACAATAAACACTTGTAAGAAAGCAAGAGGAAAAAAAGTTAGAAAAAGAAACTATGAAGGGAAACATGGAAGATTCGCGGACATTGGCTTAGCGAGTGCCCGCCAATCCTATTTCGTGCGCCACTGGAAAAAAAAAAAAAAAAAAAAAAAAGCGACGTGATACGTCAGCTAAAAAAAAATGAAACAAAATAAAAAAGAAGGCGCCACGTGTTCATCGTGCGACTTGTATCCAATCGTCATGTTCGGACCTGTAGAGTCTTCGCTGTTACCATTGGATAATTTTCCCGCGAACCTGGATGTGACGTCAAAGAATTGTATTATTTTATGGGTTGCAAGTTTGGCAAGTAATCGCCATTCTCTCCCATTCAACTACGTTACCAGTTTTGTTTCTGATGGCTTTGGCGATATTCCTCTTACATGTGATTCAAAGCAACCCTTTGTTTTGCTCGCTTTAGAAACGTGAAAAGTTGATCGTGTTATCACATACTCGGTAGCTTCCAGTCAAGTAGTGTTAAGTTGACAGCAGCGTAAAATTGACTTCGTATTTGCGTGTAGCAGGTATGTTTATGTTTTACATTAATATTATTTATCTTTTTTAATTTGTATCTCAGTGTTTTAATTAATATGTTAAAGATTCACGGAATGTTCATTATCAGCGAATAGTTAATTTTTTTTAAAAATTTCATTTGTTTACATTTTTGCGAAGTCTGCGAATTTTTTTTTTTTTTTTTTTTTTTTCCCGTAAAGATGTTCTTCCAAAACATTTCACGTTTTATTTAAATTAACTATATCATATTAGTTGTTAAAAATCCTCCTATTTACCATTTATGAAACATTTTGTTAAAAATTACGTTTTGCATTTTCGTAAAAAATTAATTTTAATTTTCAAAATATAAACTCGTAATTGGTTATTAGACTAATCTTGAATGATTATTATTACATTTATTAACAAAGGATTTTTTTAAAAAATTTGTCTCATTATAATATGCTTATTATTTTTATTGTTCATTCTTAATGACTATATTATGTTACGTGATAATTAATTCTGCCATTTTAAAATACAGTGAAATTAGATTTACCATTTTGACTAGAATTTTTTATTTTTTAAATGTTCATTTCTATTTAGAAGTTGTACCATGAAATGTTCTTGATACCTCAAAAAATGATTTCCTATTCCTTTATAAAAGTTGCTTGAATGTGTTGTATGCAATACTGCTGTAACTCACAGCATTGCATAGTTATCATTCACTTTTCCCTATAATCTGAAATAATGATAATGGGAGCCCGTATTTGAAAGTTTATTTAAAACTCGATACGCACTGAACGCGCAATGTGATAACAAAGTTCACAGTGATAACAAATAGTTCTGATTCATTTTTCGTTTCCGTTATTGTTACGTAACTTGTGACGCGGTTTCCCTAAAACCAACAATCACTGCGTTTTAATATTATACAGATTTTATTAAAAAATAACATTCAATAATCAATTTTTAAAGCATTATATTCCATATTTTTCTGGAAAGACATATTTTTTTATAAAATAAATATTTAAAATAAACACATCCCGTATTTTAGTGAAGAATGCGCCCGAATTTAAGGGGACTTTTAAAATGTACAAATAAATATGCAGTATGTTAAATGATAAGTTTAAAAATTGCATTATATTTTTTAGGATAATATATTTGTTCTTATAAGCAAGTAATTATCTTATAACGAATTCGAAAATTTAAAGTATGTGAGTATTTAAGAATTTCTTAATTTTCTTTTACTTCTAGAGAAATATATATCGCGTAAATACTCATATATATATATATTACTCAGCTATGAAAGTACTGCCCTTTATAAATATTCTTCCGCCACGGTTGCGGAAATATCAACATATATTTGTTTGGCAATCGTTTTTATCGAGTTCCTTTTTCAAAACAAATTTCAAAATAAAAAGCAGTTTGTTTTTATGTTTAAGCTGAAATATGAATCAAGTTATTTAAAAAAGCATTCGATCTTTTTGTTGTTTAGCTGTTTTTCCACAATGAGATTAGCCCACCAGCGGCCGAGCAGTGAAGATGCTGAACACTGGCAGTTCGGTCCGAGGTTCGAATCCCGCGAACGGGCTGGCTGCATGGGCGTTTTCGTGGTTTTCCCCATGTGTAACGTGTATACGAGCCAGTTCCCCTTAGAAAGTCCTCCACGAAGGCATCCCTCCCTTCAGGCAGATAGCCTTCGTGTGCTTTGATATAAATAAATAATCCAATCCAATAATCCACAATGAGATTAATGTTTAAATAGGAGTTGAAAATTTGTTTTCACTATTCGGTTATCGAATAAAATTGTAGCATGAATTTTCACGAGGCATTAAAAATATAGATAGATATTTCCTTTAAAGATAGTTTGTTTTTACTTGATAAAATGAGAATTTAATTGTTAAATTTTATTGTACTCCACTTATTATATTATTAAGATTTCCCTTTATTAGAACTTTTTGAAAACAATAAGTGAACTGGTGGTAAAATTTTAATTATTTTTATTTCCTTTAAAGATCGTTCGTTTTGACGCCCACCAGCGGCCGAGCTGTAAAATCGCTGAATACTGGTAGTTCTAACCCGAGCTCGATTTCAGACTCTGATTAGTATACTTAATATTTCCCTTTATTAGAACTTTTTTAAAACAAAAAGTGAACTGAAGACAAAATTTCGCAGGTTTTTCCAAGTAGCGAACAAGTTAATTTTGAAAAATTTTCATTATAAAAGGGCACGCTACGAATAACAGTAACTGATTCACTTTGTTTTCTTACCTGATATTTCTTCAGATACCGATTACCGAGAAATATTTGTGATCATAAAGAGGTTAATTGCCGCTGGCTTTTATGTTTCTTTTACATATGTTATTAAGGTGTAATGGAATTTTTGATCTCGATATAAACATAAGCTATGGTTTTAAACTAGTTCAGTTCCTGAAAACTTTATTAATGTGTTTTTTGCGCATGCTAGTATAAACTGAATTATTGCATTAATTGATTCAGAGTTAAATGTTCATTGGCGACTCATTAGATTAAAACAGAATCTCCTCAAAAACGCCTCGAATTCGTTCGAAAGTGTCCTGGCTTTCCTGTTGTGTTCCATTATCTTTCAGAAATTTAAGGCCAACCGGTGGCCGAGTGAGTATCGCCGAACTCTGATAGTTCGTTTCGAGCTCGATGCCTGGTGATTAGTCTACTTCTGGGCTTTCCCCAAACTTAAATACGGTCCTGTGTTTATTAGAAAGTTCCCCTCCAAGGTATCCTTTGCAAGGCAGACTCGAGAGCTTTGCGACGATTAGTTAACCAACTTCCAGAATTCCTTCACGAACACTTATCTCCCTAATGCAGATCATTCTTAGGTGACTTATCGTTAGCAGTTAAGATCAGATCTTTTAATAATATTCAAACTTAGATCAATTTAAAAATTAACTCCAATCCAAGCGTAGCTCGCTAGTAATCGAGCAGCTAAAAGTTCTGAAGCATTGGTCATTCATTCCCACTACGGTTGCCGTCGGAGGAATTGATGGCTGATGGGGTTTACTTTTTTTTTTTTTTTTCTATTATATTAAACACAACATTTAAAAATCCTTGTAGAAAGCATGTTTCCATTAAATAAATAGCTCTGAACTTCTCTGCTTTAATTAGCGTACAAAATCATATAAAGTTGCATTATGCTGCTTTTAACGTCAGTATGCTTTTTCTTCAACTTATGATAATGCTTAAAAAATGTAATTTATATGTATATTTTTAATTTAGTTTATTGATAGCCATACAGCCAAATCTGCATTAAGTTAAAATATACAGATACTTGTATGTTTCAACTTCCAGTATTAACATATGCACATTTGTTTTGATACGCAATTTCGAATTTTTAAGCCTGTAAGAGGAATAATCTATAAAAACCTCGAGGTGCATACGAGTCACCGAAAGGATAAGATGGTTGAACACTGGTAGTCTGACCCAGGTGAACGGTCTGGCTGCATGAAACTTCGTGTATTGTGCCAATTTCCTTCAACAAGTCCTGCACGAAGGCAATCATTTGCTTAGGCAGATAGGCCTAGTATGCTTTGCCATAGTACAGATAATCCAAACCGATCCGTAAAACTCTAGAATTCGAGAAAATAAATTACCCAGTGAGACAATACATATTTTGCGCAATAAAATTCAATCAATTCTAAAACGCTTCTGGTAAGCTTTTCCTGATTTAGTGCTTTTAATTGTACGTTAGTGCTCCAATGTTCGAGAATTCAGATCCCGACGACCGACCAACGGCCGAATGGTAAAATCGCTAAATACTAGTAATTTCGAACTGTGTTCGAATCCCAGCGGACGGGCTGGTTGCAAGGGCGTTTTAGTTGTTCTCCCCATGTATAAAGTGTATCGAGCCTCCCTTAGAAAATCCTCCACGAAGGCATCCTTCCCCTTAGGCAGTGCTTTGCCGTAATAAACTAAATCAAACCATTAAAGCCCCGCTAGCATGTGTAGATAGATGTACAGGCGTTTTCGTGATTTTTCCGAACTGTAACATGAAAATGAGTCAATTTGCCTAAAAAAAATCCGTCATGAATGCATGGACCCTCTGAGGATCGATGAATAAAAGGGGTCAATGATGATCAAGTGTCCGATAGCTGGGCACGAGCAGTTGATCAGCATAATGAAGATAACACTGATTATAAAATTTTTTCTTAATATTGTAAAATTGTTTATTGATACAAATCTGTATCATGTTGCCAGGAAGAAATCGTATAAAATAAGGAGAAAATATATTTAATTTATTTAAAAAATCAAATATAATTTTAATGCAAAATGTGCTATTTAAAAAAAAGTTAAACGCAGGAACTCAAGCAAACGCAGCCAAAAGAACACCAAGAATGCAACACTTCCTGGGAGATATTTTGTTATATACGAGTACAAGCGATTTGCAATGCAGGCGGACTTCCGAGAGGAATATCCCAAAAACCGAACAACACGATTGATTTCCCTTCTCTTCTTATCTAGTGAAAGTTCAGTTAAGTCAATAATTTATTTCGGGAAACAACCAACAGGTTGAATACTTTAGAACGAAGTGGTTAAGTAACAATTTTGTGCCAAATATCAGAAAAAAAATTGCATCAGTACGTCAAGCGCAGCTATCCATTCCATTAATTAAAACTGAACTTTTGCGAGATTAAAATTTTTTATTTTGCTTCTAAAAATTCTTTTATGTTTTTAAAATTGAAAAATGTAATAGGGTCGATGAAGAAATCCATTCTTTTAAAGAGTCGATGCAAGGAAAAGTTTGAAAATCCCTGCTCCATCCTAATGTAGGGTTTGATACAATTAATATTCTTCCTTAGAATAAATAACCTTTCATCTTTGGTAGGCATGTGTTTTTGCAATAAATCTTTCATATTTAGGTCTTCTGAAAAGTTAACTACTCTAGTAAAATAATAATAGTGATAATTCTAGCAGGATGTCGAAGTTTAGATTTCTTTTTAACCACTTCATTTTCATTTTTAAAAACAACTCATTTCTGCGAAGCGTTTACATTTTTTCTACCCTGT